CTGTGTGTTAGGGTGGGGGTAGGATCTAGCTGTGTGTTTGGGTGGGGGTAGGATCTAGCTGTGTGTTTGGGTGGGGGTAGGATCTAGCTGTGTGTTAGGGTGGGGGGTAGGATCTAGCTGTGTGTTAGGGGGGGGGGGGGGTAGGATCTAGCTGTGTGTTAGGGTGGGGGTAGGATCTAGCTGTGTGTTAGGGTGGGGGTAGGATCTAGCTGTGTGTTTGGGTGGGGGTAGGATCTAGCTGTGTGTTAGGGTGGGGTCTCACACCCTGCGTCTATTTGTTCTGTCCCCTGGTCTAGACGGGGCAGCTAGTGTTCTGCCCTTCTCATCCAATCTGTCCAGCTACGTCCAGCTATGTCCAGCTATGTCCATTCTGTCCAGCTATGTCCAGCTATGTCCATTCTGTCCAGCTATGTCCAGCTATGTCCAGCTACGTCCATCTATGTCCAGCTATGTCCATTCTGTCCAGCTATGTCCAGCTATGTCCAGTCTGTCCAGCTATGTCCAGTCTGTCCAGCTATGTCCAGCTACGTCCATCTATGTCCAGCTATGTCCATTCTGTCCAGCTATGTCCAGCTATGTCCAGTCTGTCCAGCTATGTCCAGTCTGTCCAGCTATGTCCAGCTATGTCCATTCTGTCCAGCTATGTCCAGCTATGTCCAGTCTGTCCAGCTATGTCCAGCTATGTCCAGCTACGTTCAGCTATGTCCAGCTATGTCCAGCTATGTCCAGCTATGTCCAGCTATGTCCAGCTATGTCCAGCTATTTCCAGCTATGTCCAGCTATGTCCAGCTATGTCCAGCTATGTCCAGCTATGTCCAGCTATGTCCAGCTATTTCCAGCTATGTCCAGCTACGTCCAGCTATGTCCAGTCTGTCCAGCTATGTCCAGCTATGTCCAGCTACGTCAAGCTATGTCCAGCTACGTCCAGCTACGTCCAGCTATGTCCAGCTATGTCCAGCTACGTTCAGCTATGTCCAGCTATGTCCAGCTATGTCCAGCTACGTTCAGCTATGTCCAGCTATGTCCAGCTATGTCCAGCTATGTCCAGCTACGTCCAGCTATGTCCAGCTATGTCCAGCTACGTCCAGCTATGTCCAGCTATGTCCAGCTTTGTCCAGTACCTCTTCGAGTTTGGTCATAGATTTTGTATGACAAGTCAAGTTTTCATTGAGGTGTTTTCTTATTGTCATAGGTTTTGTATGACTGCTCAGGTTTTCATTGATGTATTTTGTTCTGTTGGTCCAATGTAATTTGAAAACTGCTCTACTGTAAACCTTCTCTAAGTCCAGCAATACATGATAAAAAAGTTGACAGTATAGAAGGTGTCTTACATGTTGCTGTCATACAACCTCCTGTTGTCCAGTAAACTGTCCGGACACACTAGCCTGTGATTTGACCTCCTGTTGTCCAGTAAACTGTCCGGACACACTAGCCTGTGATTTGACCTCCTAGTGCTTGCCCTAATATTCCTGACACCCATTCAATCCACCACCCCCCGCCCAGCTCCCTCGATTTAAATTACCACCCCTTACATCCACAAAACTAATCCATTTTCGTCCTAGCCCCCACCCCTAATCCCACCACGCTATTAAAGACCCCCTCCCTCCCCATTTTCCATCCCTCACGCCCAACATTTAATTGTCCGCTAAATTGTCCCTGCCTAAATATGTCCCCCCCCCCCCCCCAACTTAACTGTCAGCTGTACCCTCCCATCGCGTGCCCTCCATCTCGCTTCAATTTTCCCTGACCCACAGTTGTCACCCCCCCCCCACCACTAAAACTAAAACTTTGACCCCCCCCCCCATGTCCCCCACCCCACCACATGTAAACCCCACCACTAAAACTAAACCTGTTGACCACCCCCCCCCCTGATGCACCCCCCCCCCCCTTCCCTCAGTAAAACTAAGCCCACTGATTGGCTCTGTTACTGTGCCGTTAACTACCCCAGTTCAAAGACCTGGAGCGTTGGACTTCTTTTTAGGTCAATTATCTGCCCCCCCCCCCCCATCTAACAAATCGCCTAACACCCGCTCTTCAAACAATCTCAACCCCCCACCCCACCCCCAGCGACCGACGAGTTACTAACAATTTAAACAGGACGAGCACTATGTCGTGTCGGGACTCACAGACTCACGAGCATGAGTGTACATCTGGACATGCGCTCGTGATTTCTTCATACGTCGGCACGGTGACGTCATACTTAAGTTGGTGATTTTTTACGTCATATCTTTATCTCACCGTCTCACCCATCTTTATCTCACCATCTTTACCTCATCATCTTTATCTCACCGTCTTTATCTCTCCATCTTTATCTCACCATCTTTATCTCACCCATCTTTATCTCACCCATCTTTATCTCACCCATCTTTATCTCACCATCTTTATCTCACCATCTTTATCTCACCATCTTTATTTTACCCATCTTTATCTCACCATCTTTATCTCACCCATCTTTATCTCACCCATCTTTATCTCACCATCTTTATCTCACCCATCTTTATCTCACCCATCTTTATCTCACCCATCTTTATCTCACCATCTTTATCTCACCCATCTTTATCTCACCCATCTTTATCTCACCCATCTTTATCTCACCATCTTTATTTTACCCATCTTTATCTCACCCATCTTTATCTCACCCATCTTTATCTCACCCATCTTTATCTCACCCATCTTTATCTCACCCATCTCTATCTCACCATCTTTATCTCACCCATCTTTATCTCACCCATCTTTATCTCACCAATCTTTATCTCACCCATCTTTATCTCACCATCTTTATCTCACCCATCTTTATCTCATCCATCTTTATCTCACCATCTTTATCTCACCATCTTTATCTCACCATCTTTATCTCACCATCTTTATTTTACCCATCTTTTTCTCACCATCTTTACCTCACCCATCTTTATATCACCCATCTTTATCTCACCATCTTTATCTCACCATCTCTATCTCACCATCTTTATCTCACCCATCTTTACCTCACCCATCTTTATCTCACCCATCTTTATCTCACCATCTTTATCTCACCCATCTTTATCTCACCATCTTTATCTCAGCATCTTTATCTCACCATCTTTATTTTACCCATCTTTTTCTCACCATCTTTACCTCACCAATCTTTATCTCACCCATCTTTATCTCACCATCTTTATCTCACCATCTTTATCTCACCCATCTTTATCTCACCCATCTTTATCTCACCATCTTTATTTTACCCATCTTTATCTCACCCATCTTTATCTCACCCATCTTTACCTCACCCATCTTTATCTCACCCATCTCTATCTCACCATCTTTAACTGACCACCTTTATCTCACCCATCTTTATCTCACCCATCTTTATCTCACCCATCTTTATCTCACCCATCTTTATCTCACCCATCTCTAATATCTCACCATCTTTATCTCACCCATCTCTCTCTCACCATCTTTAACTGACCACCTTTATCTCACCCATCTTTATCTCACCCATCTTTATCTCACCCATCTTTATATCACCCATCTTTATCTCACCATCTTTATCTCACCCATCTCTATCTCACCCATTTCTATCTCGCCATCTTTATCTCACCATCTTTATCTCAGCCATCTTTATCTCAACCATCTTTATCTCACCATCTTTATTTTACCATCTTTATCTCACCCATCTCTATCTCGCCATCTTTATCTCACCCATCTTTATCTCACCCATCTTTATCTCACCCATCTTTATCTCACCCATCTTTATCTCACCCATCTTTATCTCACCATCTTTATCTCACCCATCTTTATCTCACCCATCTTTATCTCACCCATCTTTATCTCACCATCTTTATCTCACCCATCTTTATCTCACCCATCTATATCTCACCATCTTTATTTTACCCATCTTTATCTCACGCATCTTTATCTCACCCATCTTTATCTCACCCATCTTTATCTCACCCATCTCTATCTCACCATCTTTATCTCACCCATCTTTATCTCACCCATCTTTATCTCACCAATCTTTATCTCACCCATCTTTATCTCACCATCTTTATCTCACCCATCTTTATCTCATCCATCTTTATCTCACCATCTTTATCTCACCCATCTTTATCTCACCATCTTTATCTCACCATCTTTATCTCACCATCTTTATTTTACCCATCTTTTTCTCACCATCTTTACCTCACCCATCTTTATATCACCCATCTTTATCTCACCATCTTTATCTCACCATCTCTATCTCACCATCTTTATCTCACCCATCTTTACCTCACCCATCTTTATCTCACCCATCTCTATCTCACCATCTTTATCTCACCCATCTTTATCTCACCCATCTTTATCTCACCAATCTTTATCTCACCCATCTTTATCTCACCATCTTTATCTCACCCATCTTTATCTCATCCATCTTTATCTCACCATCTTTATCTCACCCATCTTTATCTCACCATCTTTATCTCACCATCTTTATCTCACCATCTTTATTTTACCCATCTTTTTCTCACCATCTTTACCTCACCCATCTTTATATCACCCATCTTTATCTCACCATCTTTATCTCACCATCTCTATCTCACCATCTTTATCTCACCCATCTTTACCTCACCCATCTTTATCTCACCCAACTTTATTCCACCATCTTTATCTCACCATCTTTATCTCACCCATCTTTATCTCACCATCTTTATCTCAGCATCTTTATCTCACAATCTTTATTTTACCCATCTTTTTCTCACCATCTTTATTTTACCCATCTTTTTCTCACCATCTTTACCTCACCCATCTTTATCTCACCATCTTTATCTCACCATCTTTATTTTACCCATCTTTTTCTCACCATCTTTACCTCACCCATCTTTATCTCACCATCTTTATCTCACCATCTTTATTTTACCCATCTTTATCTCACCCATCTTTATCTCACCATCTTTATCTCACCCATCTTTATCTCACCCATCTTTATCTCACCCATCTTTACCTCACCCATCTTTATCTCACCCATCTCTATCTCACCATCTTTAACTGACCACCTTTATCTCACCCATCTTTATCTCACCCATCTTTATCTCACCCATCTTTATCTCACCATCTTTATTTTACCCATTTTTATCTCACCATCTTTATCTCACCCATTTTTATCTCACCCATCTTTATCTCACCCATCTCTAATATCTCACCATCTTTATCTCACCCATCTCTCTCTCACCATCTTTAACTGACCACCTTTATCTCACCCATCTTTATCTCACCCATCTTAATCTCACCCATCTTTATCTCACCCATCTTTATCTCGCCATCTTTATCTCACCATCTTTATCTCAGCCATCTTTATCTCAACCAACTTTATCTCATCATCTTTATCTCATTACTGTCAACAGATATGAAGAGATCTCATCACCAATCTCAGAGTGAAGCGTCCCGTCCCTCCCCCGACCCATCCCCGCGCCCCATCGCCCCCAGTGCCCCCTCACCCCCACCCTCTAATAACCCTAATCACCCTCGCGCCTCCTCTCATTACATCTCGCGGTGTCGCTCTCGTCTCTATCGCTTTCTTTGAATTTCACCATCTTATTCCTCAATTTCACCCCCTCCCCCCCCCCCCCCTCCGCCATCTTATTCCTCAATTCCATCCCCCCTCCTCCGCCATCTCTGAATTTCCCCCTCCCCCTCCCCTCCCTGTCAAATTAACGGTGAATTCGTCCAAGGCAAGCGATAAAAAACGAGATGAATCTATGCCTGAGGGGAGCAACCGTCTGTTTAATCATAGCTACCGGCACTAGTCAATAGATGGAGTTGTGGCCCCTGGTTTTTTCTAACTCGGAATTTTGGGACGACGTCGAGGACAAGAGGCGCTCAGTGCGTTCAGCTGGGGCGTTAAACTGGGGCGGTAGGGCGTTAAACTGGGGCGGATAGGGCGTTAAACTGGGGCGTATAGGGCGTTAAACTGGGGCGGATAGGGCGTTAAACTGGGGCGGATAGGGCGTTAAACTGGGGCGTATAGGGCGTTAAACTGGGGCGGTAGGGCGTTAAACTGGGGCGGATAGGGCGTTAAACTGGGGCGTATAGGGCGTTAAACTGGGGCGGTAGGGCGTTAAACTGGGGCGGATAGGGCGTTAAACTGGGGTGGATAGGGCGTTAAACTGGGGCGGATAGGG